CACATACATATATGCATATGTGTTAGTGGTAAAGCTTATTTACAGTTTTTCCTATTTTCTTTGTTTTATATAAAGAAGATTATAGTTCATGTGCATTTGGCACATTAGAAGTTGCTTTAAGTTTCTAGACTCCCTTGGCTTTGAAAGAAATGGAACCCTTAATGGATTTGATCTGTTAACATTAGGTAATAATTAGTTAAGGCGAGCGCTCCATAACAGCAGGTCTAGGAGAAGGAACACTTTGATCTTAAAACTCTGCTGAATTGCGGGATATTTTTGGGAGAAGAAAAGGCTAAGGAGTAAACCCTAGACAAATCTAGAGTAAAAAGGTAAAGGAACCCTTGACAGTTAAGTCCCGTCAAAGGTGACTATGGGGTTGCAACACTCATCTCGCTTTCAGGCCGAGGGAGCCAGTGTTTGTCCACAGACAGCTTTCCAGGTCATGGGGCCAGCATGACAAAACGGCTTTCTGGTGCAACAGTACACCATGAAGGAAACCAGAGTGCACGGAAATGCCGTTTACCTTCCCGCCACAGCAGTACCTATTTATCTACTTGCACTGGTGTGCTTTTGAACTGCTAGGTTGGCAGGAGCTGGGACAGAGCAATGTGAGCTCATCCCGTCATGGGGGTTGAAACTGCTGACCTTCTGATCGGCAAGCTCAAGAGGCTCAGTGGTTTAGACCACAGCGCCACCCGCATCCCTACAAATCTAGAGTGGAGTCCCTAAGACAGTTGGATGGCATCTTATATGCCTCCTTCCAGCAACTCCTGCAGCCAAGCTGGTGCAAAACATATAGCTCTGTTTTCCTTTGGACCACATTAGTGAAGCCAAGGTGGGGCGTGTCTTGTCATCTGGGCAGTCTAAGACCACCATATACATTACCCAGGCTTGCATGCCGGGGCAGTCACTTCATTGCTGCTAACACAGCAGTTGGACTTCACCCCCTTGCCTCTCGAGACAGATGGATGCCAACAACCCAGACCCATATGACTGGACCCTGATTTATGTGTGTGAATACCCAGAATCTCTGTTTTATTTGCTTTTATATCATTTTCAGGCTGTTTTTTTATCTTAATGGATATTGGTTTTTATATTGCACATAGTTTCTCCCACTTGGAAGAGTTTAAAAATATTAAGCATTTTGGAAATGATTTTAAATATGTAAATGAGCAGTTCTCATTTCCTGTCCTCTCTTAAGACTTTGGAATGAAATACCATAATAGGCCATCCTGGACAGAGAATTATTTTTCGTGCACGCTTCCTCATTTTTGGTACACCTTATCTGATGCAGAAGTCAATGTGTGTCTTACAGTTTCATGGGAAACCAAAGTTCTAATGGGCTCCAGCTTGGAGCCAATGACACAGTAAGAGAAGCTGTGCTGTGTTGGTGGCCAGCAGTTGGCTTTCTTTAGCATTCCACACAGGCTTAGCATAATGGACAGATGTTCCATTTGTCCAATGGCAGCATTGGCTGTGGCCAGGAATATCGGAGATAGGGAAAATAGATTGGATTCCTGCTAAGAATATTGCTGGAAGATGGTGCTAAAGATATGGATTAGTTCAGGGTCTTCATCACCTCATCACTTTGTTCAGGGGTCTTCCTGAATGAGGGCTGAGAGAGAGTGCGCGAAAAACTTTCTATTGAATTAATAGTCTCTTCATAGAATTGCTGCCTGGGTTCCTTCAGGACTGGTAGAATATAAATGACATGAAGAAACATTGTGGAAGAAAATTCAGACATCTATGGCATTTATGATGCCCCACCAACACTTATCTGGCTGTTGAAATTTTTTCGCTTAAAGTTGCTATTGTAATTTTGTTTTTTCTTTAAATTAAAAAACCCACTGAAGACACGCATACATCTTTCTCGGTTTAAAAGGCATGAAATTCCAGGCTTGAAAATATTTATGCAGAACAATACAGGCAAATGTAGGCTGGCCAAGAGTGGAATCCATGGCTAAATGTTAATTGATGCAGCTGAAGGCCAGAGAGGTTAGTCAGATGCATTTGATTATTATTTCCCTGAAGAAAATATGGGGGGGGGACAGCTCTAAACCATATCCAGTTTTCCTTATTCAACTTCCTCTACCCTCATCTATTTTGTCATATGATTACAGAAGTTTCTGTGTGGGAACTATGTTCCAGATTAGGCTGCTTTGAACCAGCAATGGGGGCAGGATCTTTGTGGCTTGAATACTGATATATGTCAGTGGTATTTAACTGAGTGTTGATGTGTATCATTTTCCTTTTCACTTTTTGCTGTAGAAGGCCAGTGTATTCTAAGGCCTAGTATGACCCAGTGTAGTTGTGGATTCTGTTATCATGGGTGCTGCTATTCAAGTGGGTTTTACTCCAAGACAACCCATTGAAATCAAGTGACCTAACTTAGTCATGTTTATTCATTTGAATGGGTCTACTGTGGGTCTACTGGAAAAAGGATGATCAAACTGGGTTGTGTCATCAGGGTTAAAAGTGCATTGGTTGTTGCTGAACTTTCAGTCCAATCCAGAAAAAATATTAAAAAAGGATAACGTCCAATCCATAAAAGATATTTAAAAAAGGATAACGTAATGCAACATTGGTTGAAACGTGTTTGGGATTTTATTCTATTAGCATTTTATTTCATTTTCTGGCAACCCCAGTTCAGTGTTTGATAACATTGCACATTAGTGTGTTTTTAATGTTGTTGTTCTTAGACTCAGTTGAAATTTCTCACATTTTTTTCTGTGATTTTTCTTTTTTCCTCACTCCCCTATAATAAATATATAAATGCCACTTTGCACACTTTCCCCCAAATATTTTCCACCAGATGGCCACTATTTCCTTCCCAAAATGTGCTGGCATGATGTCTGGGAAACTGTGGCAGAGTACAGAAAGGATAGCCAGGTTGCCATCGCAGTTGCAGCAAAGCAGCAACTGGAGAAATTCAGGGAAATTGTCCTCCCGGTTTCTCTACTCATAAACAGTGTAAGGAACATCAAGAGGCCATTTGTACAGAGCTCTGCATAAAACTTGATAGAAGTTGGGTGTACAGCACCCCTGGCTCTTGCAAACCTTCTGTACTGACTCAGCTGCTGCACTGGTTCTTTGATTCAGATCATGGAACTCTTTCTCTATCTTAAGAGTAGCGTAGATGTTTGAATAAGGCTTGAGATCCACTTGTTGTTGTTTAGTCGTTTAGTCGTGTCCGACTCTTTGTGACCCCATGGACCAGAGCACGCCAGGCACTTCTGTCTTCCACTGCCTCCCGCAGTTTGGTCAAACTCATGTTGGTAGCTTCGAGAACACTGTCCAACCATCTCGTCCTCTGTTGTCCCCTTCTCCTTGTGCCCTCAATCTTGCCCAACATCAGGGTCTTTTCCAGGGAGTCTTCTCTTCTCATGAGGTGGCCAAAGTCTTGGAGCCTCAGCTTCATGATCTGTCCTTCCAGTGAGCACTCAGGGCTGATTTCCTTAAGAATGGATAGGTTTGATCTTCTTGCAGTTCATGGGACTCTCAAGAGTCTCCTCCAGCACCATAATTCGAAAGCATCAATTCTTTGGCGATCAGCCTTCTTTATGGTCCAGCTTCCACTTCCATACATCACTACTGGGAAAACCATAGCTTTTACTATACGTATAGTAAAAGGGATCCACTTAGAGAGAATCTAATCTTCACACTTAAGAGCAATAATTTCCATACCTTTCTTGATTAAAAAGAACTGCCTGTGGAATGCTGCCTTTGTTAAGCTTCCATCTCACAGAGGCTCCAATCCTTTTGCCCAGAATTAGAAATGCACTTTCAGTCGCTACACCATCTCTCTCGCACACTTCGTCATGTTTTGCAGTCTCAGGTTGGTACATCAATCAGTATCAACCCATTTCTGTTTGTGCAAAATCCCTCGGGCCTCTAGGCCATAAATAAATCTGGGTTCTTTGTTCTGTGTAGCTACAGCAGCTGAGCTGATTTCAGGTACTATTGACAAATACAAAGTACTCACGCGGCTAGCCCGAATGCTTGGGTTTTGCCTAGCATGCATGTAGCATGGCTTCTTATACAGTTCTGAGTATCGGCAGCATTTTGTATGCCGGAACTGCTGACGCAGAAAACAACATGCATCACATAACGTCTGAAACCTCTGTCCAGATTTACTTCCTTTTTTCTTTTACTGCCAATTTGACAGGAAAGTAAATGGGCCAATCTTCCTAAATCTCTGAAAGCAGGCATAATTGCCCAACTACTCTTAGCTTGGGAAATGTAGATGAAAACATTTCAGAGTATGTCTGCGTTTAGAGGTTTGAAAATAGATAGCCAAATATTCAAAAAGTGCCACAGTCTGATTCAGGAATACCCTTTATTTTTTCAGCCATACACAGAATGTATCTCTTTTATTTCCATCTTTCTGTGCTCTGAGAACACTTAACCATGATGTTCACAATGCAGTTGTGGATAATTGTTGCGCATCACATGTGCAGCTGGCTATATTGTCAAACAGGTTTGTGCATCCAGTTGCCCTCTGCTTGCTGCTTGCTTGGGGACACTTACATCTGGCGCCACAAAAAATCACTGATTCACAGCATCCTTGCCTACTTCGGGAGCCACTGATGGAAGCACAAATCAAATTAATGCAAAGATGGGCATTCTCTCACTACCCCTGTGTATGGTATATTGTTTGCAAGCCCCCTATTGATCCCAATGGTGTAGTAACAAGAGAATGTTTCTCCATGACCTATCCAGGCCAGCAATTTGTTGCTAACAGTAGCACTGGGAAGTAGCAGGAGATTATTGCTTCCCAGATTTTGGTACTCAAATCTGGATGGACATCTCACAGTGTTATCCTTCCAACAATAACATTGCCCATCTTCTTCCATTGGCTTTATGTTTCACCAGTAAAAAACCTACAACAAATACTGTTCTATGCAACAGATTTCCCTGTATCAGCCAGGACAGGATAAGATGACTTTGAAGTCCCTTTCAATTTTATGATCAGTGGCTTTATTCTATGTATACAAAGACACCCAATTGATCCTTGCGGCATCTAGCTTCATTTCTACCATGCAAGCATCTTGAATGGCGGCAGTGTAGGTGTTCAGAGGTGGCTGGTGCCCATTGGAGCTAGAAGGGAAGAAGACAAGGAACTAACCATTAGGTGGAGCCAATGAGAGGCAGAGCCAGTGAAGTCTACTCTTGCCACCACCCCTTGCTGAGTTCTATGACACTGAGATTAAGGAAGAGGAGGAAGCTGACGGCCAGGGATTGGTTAAAAGCAAGAAGGCAAGCAAGTGTGGGCAGAGTGAGTTTGGTGGGGTACTGCCCCACACTCGCCAAATGGACCAGCCTTCATTGTGTTTTGATTTTTCATGCTCTCTTTCCAAGAGTCTCCCCCTTTTTGGCTTGCTGGGTCAATGTGATGCTGAATGCAATGGTGCCCATTTCTCTTAAACAACAACCCTTGAGTCAAGACAAATTTAACTTAAGCTAGAGAAGGACGGGACTCTTCTCTTCTCAGTTGGTCCCTTACCTTTCCCGCCCCAACCTGGCCACAGGGATCCATGCGACGGTCACCTCCAGGCTTGACTACTGTAATTTGCTCCATGCAGGGCTGCCCTTGAAACTGTCCCACAAACTTCAGCGGGTGCAGAATGCTGCAGTGAGGCTCCTCACTGGGTCCCTGCCATGGAAGCATATTCACCCAGTGCTTTACCAGCTGCGCTGGCTCCCGGTGGAGTATAGGGTCAGGTTCAATGTGCTGGTCTTGACCTTTAAAGCCCTTTGTGGCTTAAGGCCCTCGTATCTACAGGACTGCCTCTCCTGCTGTGCCCTGCAGAGAACCTTAAGGTCTATGAATAACCATAGGTTAGAGGTCCCGGGCCCATAGGAAGTCAGACTATCCTCCACAAGGGCCAGGGCCTTTTCAGTGATGGCTCCAACCTGGCAGAATGCTCTGTCCCATGAGACTAGGGCCCTACAGGATTTAACCTCCTTCCGTTGGGCCTCTAAGACAGGGCTATTCCGCCTGGCCTTTAATTTGAACTCAGCCTGATCTTTTATTTCCCTTCTTTTCCCTCCCCCTCCCCTTTTATGAAGATTACCCACTCTGAGACCCCACAGCTAATTCTCCCCTGGCCTCCTCGCTGGCCCAAGTAGGACCAATTCAGTCAGCTAGCCCTGGGGATTATCTAATGCTTATTTCCCGTAAATTGATTTTTGATTTTTGATTTTTATTGTTATTCATGTTTTTATACTGTATTTTATGCTGCTTTTATAATTAAGTGTTTTAAATTTGTTGTTAGCCGCCCTGAGCCTGGTTTTTGAACCGGGAAGGGCGGGGTATAAATAAAAAATATTATTATTATTATTATTATTATTATTATTATTAGCTCCTTCCACCCACCCCGGGCAACCACTTACTTTCCTAGTAGCTGTGACACCACAAGGGAGGGAGGAATTTCTCCCTCACCCTTCTGTTTGTTGTTGTTTCTGCTTCGTCTAAAGCAGCAACTCCTGGAGTGAGGAATCCTGAGGAAATCACCATTTCTCAGTGATCTCTGTGTCTGCCTTGCTGACATATTGCACCAGTTGTGGGGGAGACCACCCTTGTTACACCACTTATGGAAGTGGGGAGGGGGGGCACATTCGGAAGTAATTTGTAACAAATCCTAGTTGCAGTGGTGGTCTTAGTTGTAAGTGCTCATGCCAGACTGAATCGTACCATTGCTTTATTTTACAAAAATGCAGAACTCAAACTGAGTGTATTTTATTGCGGTGACAGAGCACCGAAACTTGTTTTTCTTAGCCTGATAATTCCTCACTGTGTATACAACAAAGGTTGAGGTATCCCTTACCATTCCAAAGGCAACTGGGGACAATCTGGCATCTGTATGTTAAATCTGTAGGCAGCTTCAAAAACATTTCTCCCTCATTCTTGCTTCTTTGTTGGCAATGCATGTAAATTATTCTGAAAATGCGAGGGGGAGTAGGATTGTGGCGTGATATTTGAATTCTGTGTCTGGGGATACAAAAGAGAGAAATATGTTGATGGCCATTCTGTGCGATTAACTATGTATGTACAATGGTATTTACATTTTTAAATCGCCAGTTAGATTAAAAAAGAAAACTTGTGTCCTTTCCCCACCTCATCTAATAAAATATATTAACTTTCTAGGTGGTTTACATAATACAAATTTATTTGGATTTCAACATATTCAAGACACTTTCTAAAACTGACTTCTTGATTTATCAGTAGCATATTGTAAAAAAAAAGTATGACTTTTCAGTTTGACAGTGCAATCCTATTCATGTTGCACTGTGTTCAATGCGGCTTAATGTAGGAATGCAGTTTAAGTTTGCAAAGGGTTGCCTGATTACTGTGCAATCCTATGCATGGTAACAGTTTCATTGGTTTTATAATTGCATATTTTTATTACTGTAACCTTCTCTGGGACCTTATGGTGAGAAATCTCATAAATACATTAATAAAATTTCTACTCAAATTCTGTGCTGTCAAATTCAGTGGGAATCTCAGGAAAGTGTGTCTTGGATGGTACATAGAAAGTTCCCTTATACTAGATCAGACTATTTAATGGCAGCTGCTCTTTAGTTCAGGCAGAGCTCTTCCTCATCACCTGCTTCTTGAGGCAGGCAGACAACCTTTTTATGTTGAGGGCCACATTCCCTCAAGGATCAACGATTGGGGTCGCATGTCGCAGTATACCTTAAGGAGCGTCTCCACTCCCATCGTTCTGCCCAGACACTGAGGTCCAGCTCTGAGGGCTTTCTGTTGGTTCCCTCGCTGCGAGAAGCCAAGTTACAGGGAACCAGGAAGAGGGCCTTCTTGGTAGTGGCACCCACCCTGTGGAACCTTCAGATGTGAAGGAAATAAGCAGCTACCTTCTCTTTAAAATATATCTGAAGGCAGCCCTGTTTAGGGAAGCTTTTAATGTTTAACAGACTACTGTATTTTGTTGGTAGCCGCCCAGAGTGGCTGGGGTAACCCAGCCAGATGGGTGGGGTATTAATAATAATAATAATAATAATAATATATAATAATTATTATTATTATTATTATTATGTTGATGGTGTATGGTGCCAGAAATGGTGATGGGTACAGAAAAGGCAAAGTATCGTCCTGCTTCAGTTTTTACCATGAATGAGAGCTCCCAATCTTATAAAGGCCTATTCTGAAAGTAAGCCACACTGTGTTTGATGGAATTACTCTCAAATAAGGTTATGATTTTTTAAAAAAACCTACACTAGACCAAACTATTCTGAAAAGTAAGTGAAAGTAGTTACTTTCTGACTTTAGTGTGCTATACATGTTCACAAACACATAACGTAAGTCCACCAGTTTCTTCTCAGATAGCTGTTAAAACTCCCCACACCTGCTCTATCACCCAAGCCTTACAACCAGGCAAAGGCACTTTAGAAATCAGCTTATATTTGTTGAAATAAAACATTGCTCTTTCCAGATGTCCTGGAAATATGTAGAAAGAAGGGAGAACGCTTTTGGAAACTAGGAAAAAGAAAAAGGAAGTAAATGGTAGGAACAAGTTTAAGGGCTGCTTGGGGGAGAGAAGAGGGGTGGCAAGCTCTATGGCACAGCAATAAGTCCTTGCACTAGCGGAATTGTTCAACTGGATGGCACCCTGTGTCATCTAGGGTGTGAGGGCATATTAACACTTTGCACGATTTCCTAAGGCAACCCAAGTAGGCATGAGGATAATTTTCTGAGAATCCTCCGGAACATACTCTCAAAGGACCTGTTGATGGCATTTTACCATTGTACTATTGAGAGTGTATTAACTTATGGTCTGTGTGTGTGGTTTGGGAGCTGCACAGTCAGGGGAAAAACAATGCTGTCCAGGGTTGTAAAGACTGCGGAGAGAATAATTGGGTGCACTCTTCCCAGCTTGGATCAAATCTATGCCTCCAGGTGTCATAAGAAAGCTGCAAAGATAGTGAAGGATAGTTCGCACCCCGGAAGTGATCTCTTTCAGTTTCTGCCTTCTGGAAGAAGGTACAGGGTTATAAAGACTAGGACTAGCCAACTGAGAAACAGTTTCTATCCAAATGCAATTTTGGTTTTAAACGCAGTGTAAGGTAGTCTCTGTGGGAGTATATTGTATTTAATTATGGGGTATCAGAGTTTTTATGGGGCTAACCAGGCTGGGATAGCAGGCTTGTTGGTTTCTGAATGTCTGATGTAGATTTTCAATTTCATTGTTCTGTATGGGACAATGACAATAAAGATTATCGTATCGTATCCCAGAAGCACCACTGTTTCCTAGAAAACATGGCCCTGTTTCCTGACTGGTTGGGTAAAGGGGAGGAAGAGGCGATGCCAAGAGAAGCCCGCATTGCCAGGCATTATGATTGAGTGAGAGATTCACTCCCTGATATAATGCTAGAGGCCAGCAGCAATCATGACACAGAGTTGGAGGCTGCAGAGACTCCAGCTAAAGAGCTGGATCAGGTTCAGGACTCTGAATCTACTTCTGGACATCAGCAATCCACTCATTCTAAGGCTGGCAGACAGAAGTTGACACACCAACCTGCCATAGCTCTAGGAAACATAGAATCAAAGCCTGAGCCTTTGGAACCAAAAGCTTCTACAGGTGCTGGTTCAAAGAGTGCATAGGAACATGCTGTTGACTTGGAGCTCTCCGTGGTCCTGACTAGCCTTGCTGCCCCACCATGAGACCCAAACATATTTATCTTTGAATGTTGTGGAGCCCCTGGTCTAATATGCCACCTGTGCTACATCAATGTGATGGTGTATTAGTGTTACAGGTTTTACATATTTGTTACTTTTTTATTATTGTAACAAAATTCTGGATCAATTCGTTAAGTAGCAGCAGAATCAAAAGCTCGTTTTAAAACATAGGTAGGCAAACTAGGGCCCTGGGGCCGGATCTGGCCCAATCGCCTTCTAAATCTTCTACTCTTACATGAGTAGAATGTGTGCTTTTATTTAAAATGCATCTCTGGGTTATTTGTGGGGCCTGCCTGGTGTTCTTACATGAGTAGAATGTGTGCTTTTATTTAAAATGCCTGGGTTGTTTTAATTCATTCATAATTTTTTTCAAAATATAATCCAGCCCCCCACAAGGTTTGAGGGACAGTGGACCGGCCCCCTGCTGAAAAAGTTTGCTGACCTCTGTTTTAAAGGGAGTGTCTTCAGTTGCTATCAGTACACACACAAAGAGGAGGGCAACCTAATCTCTTGGGGCAGGAACCAACACATGCCCTTTTGCATGTCACCACCAGTTTTGACCTAGAAGGCCACGGCATAGACAAGGTGAATGTAGCAGCTGGTGGGCCAATTCACATAAAAGCAAGGAGTGCTTCAAGTAGAAACATAGGGAGCTGCCATATACTGAGTCAGACCACTGGTCTATGCAGTTCAGTACTGTCTACACTGACTGCCAGTGGCTGTCCAGGGCTTCAGTCAGAAGCCTTTCCCAGCCCTGTGGGGAAATGCTAGGGAAGATGATGATGATTAATTTTTTTGCCTGTCCTTCCCTGGCAGGTCCTAGGGCAGGTTAAGAGAAATTAAAATGGAAATTTGAAAGACAGTTAAGCCAGAGTACAAGCACAGGAATAGGGTGGGCCAGGATAAATAAATGCATCTTCAGCATCTGCCAAATGCTGTACAGTGGTACCTTGGCTTGGCTCCTGAATGTTGCAAACCCAGAATTCCGGTTTGCAAACATTTTTCAGAAGCTGAATGTCCGACGTGGCTTCTGTTTGAGTGCAGGAAGCTCCTGCAGCCATTTGGAAGCCACACCTTTCCCCCCGAACAGTTTCAGGAGTCGAACGGACTCCCGGGACTGATTAAGTTTGAGAACCAAGGTACCACTGTATAGTGAAGAAGCCAAATGCACCTCCCTGGGGAGGGAATTCCACAACTTCCACAGAGAAGAACGTCTTCTAAGGGCCTGCTCTGCTGATCTTAAGAAGAAGAAGAAGAGTTTGGATTTGATATCCCACCTTTCACTCCCTTTAAGGAGTCTCAAAGCGGCTAACATTCTCCTTTCCCTAATACCCAGGATGGTCTGCAGGGAAGGAGGTGGTCTTGCATATGTTTGGGGCCTAAGTTGCTTAAGGCTTTAAACACTAATGTGAGCACCTTGAATCGGGCCTGGGAATGAACAGCAAGCCAATGTTTTAGGACGGGAGTTCTGTGCATTCTGAATGGAAACCCTGCTGCCTTTTGGACCAGTTGAAACCCTTTTCAAGGGAAGCCCCATGTAGAGTGCACTGCAGTAATCCAAGCTGGAAGTTAGCAGAACATGAAGTACTGTGGACAAATAATATTTGTACAAAGGAGTTGCAGCTGGCGAACCAGCCCATAGGCCATGGGATTGATTCTGGGACCTTCTGTAAGCCAAGAAGATGCTCTAGCACTGAGCCACAGCCCTTCCCCAAGTAGCTGCACCCTTAGCTCTTTCAGGCTTGATAGGTCTTGCTGCGTGGAGTCACTTTCCTCCTAGAGAAGAGAACTTGCTTATCCTCAGATCAGTATTCATTACTTTCCCTGGGCTACTTGGAAAGTTCCATAGTGAAGGAATAAAAATGGCACAGGCTCCCTCCCATGGCTTGCTTCCAACCTCCACAGCCTGCTGCTAAATCACCTCCGCTGTAAAAATGAGCAATTCAAAGCATTGTGAGATCTATCAAAATGCTTTTTTCATTAGGCAGGATGGATAGAAGAGAGTGGGGGGGGAATAGCACACTTTAAAAAACATTTGACACCACCCGGCTCCCGAGAGCTCTCGCGAGCGATTGCCAGGTGGGCTTTAGATAGTGTTTTTCTTCTTAATCTTTCTACTGCTCTGGCTCTTGTAGTCACAGACTGATATCAAATTGTGTTGTTCCCACTGGTGCGGCGTGTTTTCATTTCCTCATCCTAGCAACGTCTCTCTCCCAAGACGCCGCATTCACTTTTGAAATTTCAATTTCACTGGGAAGAATCGACTAGCTTCTTGAGGCTCTAATCTGGGGGGTGGA